ATGAGGACCCAGATTGTTGGGGGCAATATGCTGACTCTCTGTAAACCGCTTAGAGAGGCCTGAAAGGCCTATGAAGCGGTATATAAGTCTACTGCTATAAGAAGCAAAAACAAGATGGTAGCACCTACAGCACCACCAGGGTTCAGGGGCGTGACAGGCCTGGGTCTCTGCCAGTTCCAGTGACTCAGGCCATCAAACCACCTGGTTTTTCATTCTCATATTAGATGGTGTGCTTGAATTGGCATGCCTTCTTTATATTGAAAGATAATACTAGCCTATACAAAATATTGTCTCCAATCTACACCGATCCTGAACTGGGGAAAAGGATCTATGGAGCAATCAGACTTTTTGCAGATAGCATCTCAAGCATTGTTCTCTAGGGATAATTCCTTGATACAATAATCTCTTTTAGCAGTTCCCATGAATACTGTTGTAAAGCATTATTAAGCCCTGGGAAGCATTAAATGGGAGAAGGAAGAATATCTGAGAGTAATGCGCCCTTCATACATCCATTCCTTTCACAAAGATGATGAGGATCTGGCAACCAATTAGCTCACCTGAGCTTTTGCTCCAGAGGGAGTGGTCCAAAGGCAGTTTTACAGCATCCCTTCTGGAGATACATAATGATGGTTTTCCACTGGGGGGCACTCTTGCCTCATCCTGTCTCCTTTGCTCCTTAGAGTTCTCACTTGAAGCCAGAGACGTAGCATCTTCTTCCCTTCTCCCTATTGCGCTCAGGAATAGTTTTATGTTCTTCAGCATTGTGACTGGTTATCTCTCTCCCTCTACGAAATGGACATGTGAGAGAAGAGTTAAAACAGAGGCACGGACAACAGTGACTGACTAACACTTACTATGTCCCTCCCATTGGCCAACAATTGGAGTTATTTTTTGAATTTTTAAATAGTAAACTTTTGCAGATCCACAAATATATGAAATGGATAGAGCAGGGGTCTGCAACCTTAAACACTCAAAGAGCCATTTGGACCCATTTCCCACAGAAAATAAAACACCAGGAACCACAAAAGCTGGGTGGGCATGGCCAACCCGATGTCACTCACTCCCACTGAGTCACATGACCCCCTCAGCCATGCCTTCCCAGGTTGGGTAGACATAAAAAGAAACATCCAGCATTTTAATAGGACACATCTTTCTCTCTAGGGAACCAAAATATTATTCACAATATCACTGCAATTGTCCCTGTACTCATAGGTTGCAACAATAGCAGCAATAGTAACAATCACAATAGAGAGTCCTCAATTTATGACCACAATTGGAAATGGACTTTCCCTCTCCAAGCAAGACAGTTGTCTTGCTGATTTTATAACCCTTTTGGTCATGTTTGTTAAGTGAATCACTGCAGTTGTTAAGTGAACAATATGGTTGTTAAGTAAATACATTTTGTCCCATTAGCTTTGCTTGTTTGAAGTCATCTGGAAAGGTTGCATACAGGGATCACATGACACCCCCCCCCCCAAGATGCTGCATAAATACAATGCATAGTACCAAATTTTGATCACATGACTATGTAAATGTTGTAACGGTCATAAGTATGATGTCCCATCGTATGTGATTTTTTTCAGTGAAGTTGTAACAAATGGTTTTGAACGGTCATTAAACAAATGGATTGGGGGGAAATAATTCCATGGTCAAAATCAGTGGGCAAGATTCCTTGGCTGGAAAAAAAATCCTCTGAAATAATTAGCATTTATTCTACAAACATGTCCCACTGGCTAGAATTCTTATTCTAGCTCAGCCAGATAACATTTTGAAAACCCCAAAGTAATTAAAAGTAAGTTTCTACATTTAGGCAAGAAAAATGAAATGCACAGGAACAGTGTAGGTGGTACCTTGCTCAATACTAGTAACTGTAAGAGGGATCTTGGAGTCCTAGTGGATAACCATTTAAATATGAGCCAGCAGTGTGCAGTAGCTGCCAAAAAAGCCAACATAGTTCTAGGCTACATAAACAGAGGGATAGAATCAAGATCACATGAAGTGTTAATACCACTTTATAATGCCTTGGTAAGGCCACACTTGGAATACTGCATCCAGTTTTGGTCGCCACAGTGTAAAAAAGTTGTGGAGACTCTAGAAAGAGTGCAGAGAAGAGCAACAAAGATGATTAGGGGATGGGAGGCTAAAACCTATGAAGAACGGTTGCAGGAACTGGGTATGTCTAGTTTAATGAAAAGAAGGACTAGGGGAGACATGATAGCAGTGTTCCAATATCTCAGGGGTTGCCACAAAGAAGAGGGAGTCAAACTATTCTCCAAAGCTCCTGAGGGTAGGACAAGGAGCAATGGGTGGAAACTAATCAAGGAGAGAAGCAACTAAGGAGACATTTCCTAACAGTGTGAACAATTAATCAATGGAACAACTTGTCTCCAGAAGTTGTGAATGCTCCAACACTGGAAGTTTTTAAGAAGGTGTTGGAAAACCATTTGTCTGGGAGTGGTGTAGGGTTTCTTGCCTAAGCAGGGGGTTGGACTAGAAGACCTCCAAGCTCCCTTCCAACTTTGTTATTCTAAAAATATATTACTGTCAATGTAATACAACCTTCCTCAACTTGGTCTCCTTTGTATTGATGATTACCACTCCTTAAATTCTCTGCGATAGTCATGCTGATAATGAATTCCAGGAATTGAAAAGAGCCCCCAGGTTGGAATGGCCAATCTGCTCGTTCCTGGAGCCTGTTGACTGCAACATGCTATGTTCATACTTGTAAACATTGGTCATTACAACATGGGAGATTTAGATCACATTGCTGCCAGGAAACATACATGGGCATATCCCTGCACTGAAAATAACTTTTCACTTGGGTTAATTTACACTCGCTTTTCCATCTTTTTTAGATCACAATCCTGCTCAGAGTAATCAAGTCACTGAAGTGTCCCTTCCAGAAGTGAAAGCCAAGGCTACCTTCTCTCTCCCTCACGATATTAACAACTTTCCTTTCTCTACATTTGTCCAAACTCACTTCCAGGTAAGAGTGCAGAGTCAGGAAGGGAGTTTCCTCTGATTTCCTTATGACCAGAATGGTCTCTAGGCTCCTTTTTCCTGTTTCTTGTCAGTTGGATGGACAAGTTAGATCTTGTGAGTGAGGTGGGCTGCAGCATTGTCCTCTCGTCTTTCAGCTACTGTGCATCTAAACTCCTTTCCTTTCCCTTGGTTGTGGCTGCCATTACATATGTATAAAAAGGTCTTTTAGCTCAGTGGTCTCCAACCTTGGCAACCTTAAGACTTGTGGACTTCAACTCCCAGAGAATTCCACAAGTCTTAAAGTTGCCAAGGTTGGAGAATTATCTGGGAGTGGAAGTCCACAAGTCTTAAGGTTGCCAAGGTTGGAGACCACTGCTTTAGCTTATGCTTGCCCACCTTGTCCACAAATGCTAGAAAGCAGGAGACCATGAATTTAAGGTCCTGCCTTAGCCATGAAAGCCTACTCGGTGATTATTGGCCAGTCATTCTGCCTTAGTTAAACCCACTTCACAAGATTATTGTGGTGGGAAAAATAAGAGGAGGAAGGTGTATTGGATATGATCACCGCCCTTAATTATTTGTAAAGATAATAAAAAGCAGGCTACAAATAAATGAATAAATAAAATGGATGCATGGCGGGGGGGGGCATTGTGTCCTAAATTCTTGTAGTGCCACATTCCCACCATTTGTATGTCTTTGGTCCTTTGTAGGTTGTGAGTTTTCCAGCCCTTGGACAGCCCTTGCAAGAGCCTTTGACCCAACTCCACACTGAGCACAGACAAAATGCTCTACAGCTAAACAAGCTGGTAAGAAGGAACAACAAAGCATCTGAACCTGCAACCTGAAACTACTTCCCTGGCTTGATCAAAAAAATGAGATCAAATCCAGTTTAAATACAGTGCATGATTTAAATAAAGACACAGATTTAACTTATGAAGACTCTTGAGGATCGTGAGCTATTTCAGGCTAGAGGGAGCTTCCAGGAACCTCAAGGTCTTCTCAGGCTTTTATTCCTGTTCTGTAAAAGAAGGATTTCAAGGAGCTTCCAAGGAAGGAAATTCTGGCTGACCAGACCAGGCCCAACGTCTTCTAGATGCATTTGTAGTTCAATGGCTTATAATGGAATGTAGAAAAAGAGGGTTTCAGCAGTTAAGAATAGTTTGTGCTTGTGGCTAAACTGGATCCTATACAAGTGTCTGAGCCAGTAGTGGGATTCAATTTTTTTTACTACTGGTTCTGTGGGCATGGCTTTGGAGGTGTGGCAGGGGAAGGGTACTGCAAAATCCCCATTCCCTCCCCACCCCACTAACCTGCTTTCCAGCTCCGTTCTCCTGTTCAGGGCAATAAAAGAAGACCAGCTGGGAGGCAACGCGGGCGGGGCCAGCCTATTTGCTGGTTCTCTGAACTATTCAACATTTCTGCTACCGATTCTCCAGAACCTGTCAGAACTGGCTGAATGCTACCTTTGGTCTGAGCCCCATCTTCTAGTTTCAGAAATTATTTCAGAGATCAGATAGGAGAATGAGCATATCTTAAGTAAGACATCCTCTCATATACACATGGCTGCTTGCCAGTCTTCCCCTCTTCCTACTGCTCAATGCAGCATGGAACTATTAGTGAAAAGAATGGGACAAAAGCAAATTTGAAAATTCAATTTTGAGTTTCTTCTGTCCTATGCAGCTTCTCTGGCTATCCCCAACAAAATCTTGCCTCTCCTTTGTTTTCACAATTTCCTCCCTATTATGTAGAATCTTTTTTGTTCAGAGACCACAGGATTACTTGGGATATGTTATCTAAATTGTGATTAGAATTGTGCCTAAAGGCTCAGGCAACCTTTCTGTGGGTAAGGTATGACTAGGAAGCTATCATAATAGACCTTTGATAAGTGACTCTGTCCAGAAACTTCATATGGCCTTTTAAAACATATTGAGTAGCCCTTATCTGTCCTCAGGTTTCTGTTCTTATCTAGTGGGCCTGTGCAGAAAGTGGTCCATTACTTGGGTGTGTGATGTCATTCAAAGAGGCAATTGATAAGATAAGAATGTCAGGAACAATGTAATTAGTATATTACCTTTATCATGTGTTTATGTTATGTAGCTAGATATGTCATAATTTTATGATCTTGGAAGAACAAAACTTGCTTTTTAATCATGGTTAATTATACTATTTTCTTTTAAATATTTTAATTGGGTTTTTTTCTTATAAAAGGAAGGAAAACTACATTTTACTGTTGCTCATACCTAGAGATATTGCAGGTAGTACTCTGAGGATAGAAACAGAGAAGAAAAAATAGGAATAGCACACTAATCCTAAATTCCTAACAATCAATATATTTCTTTACCTCCTGTTGCATTTCCTGGTCAGCTGCAATAAGAAAAATAAACCTACTTCACTAACATGGATAGAAAAGGAAAACAATCTCTAGAAGTTATAGGTTACTGGCAGAACTCAACTTTTAGTATGTAGAAAGTCTCAGTTTTCAATTTCTGGAGTTTCCAGTTTAAGTTTAGTGATAGAGAGGAAGAACTGAAGAAGAAGTTCTTCAGAAAGAAGTTTTTCAAGAAAGGCTGAAGTTTTGGGACATTTTTAGAATTATAGTCTGCCAAAATAGAACTATAATTTGATTCTGTGCTTGCATGCTATCCAATGTGTAGTTTCCATAATTTAATCTTAATTTCTGTAAAATAGATGGGGTATCTTTCTTTGAATTTTGGGAGTTGCGGGCTCTGATGCCCAGGGGATAACCTAGCCCTGACGTCTTGCAAGGATGGTAAGGAAGGGTCAGAAATGAGATTACTCTGATTTTTCTATCTATATCTGACATCAATGTCCCTTGTTTTTATGGTACACCCCTCCTCTTCCTATAGGTTTTGCGATTCATCAATGACTGGGAATTGCAGGGCATCCATGAACAGATTCTAGGGAACTACATAGCAAGCCGGGGACTGGCCAGCCCCCCCCTACGCAATGAGCTGCTGAGCCAAATTGCTACTCAGCTGTGGAAAAACCCAGATCTGGAGCAATGCCAACGAGGCTGGGTGTTGATGGCTACCCTCCTGAGTGCCTTCACACCTTCACCAGCTTTGGAGAAGCCTCTGCTGAAGTAAGAAGTGGGGCTTTTTCAGGGGTGGGCTTCAAAAATTTCAGCAACAGCTTCTCTGCCTGGTTGCTGGGTGGGCATAGCCATTGTGGGCATGGCCTAGTCGGCCTCCCCTGGGCTCCAGAGGCCAGAAATGGGCCCTTTTCTGGCCTTCTGGAACTTCCAGGAGGCCCATTTTTCCCCATTCCCAAGCCCTGCACGGGCCCTGCACTTACCTCGCATCCAAAATGGGCTGTGTGGAGACTCCTGGGAGGGGAGGGGTGGCCAGCCAGGGATGGGATGTGGAGGTTCTCTGAACTAGCCATAATGTTAGCTATGGGTTCTCCTGAACCCAGGCGAATCCATAGCAGCCGAGCCCTGGGCTTTTTCCTCCCTGGGTTTCAGGAAGCATTGAAATAGCAGCAATGGTTACTGAAGGCTCTTCCTTTGCTGGGATGTAGGTTTGTGTCAGATCATGGCCTGGAGGGCTACAACGGAATGTGCCAGCACAAACTCTTAACCTCCATGAAGCAGACGGAGGGTTACTTGGAGCTGTCCCGCAGTTTCCCCCCCACCGGCCTGGAGTGGACTGCCAACCAGAGGAAAGGCAAGATGGTGCTGGAAGTCTGCACTTATAAAGGTAAAAGTTGCTTTCCTATTCAGCACTCGATCAGTCAATCAGAATAGAGCTGGAAGGGACCTTGGAAGTCCTCTAGTTCAACCCCCTGCTCAAGCAGGAGGCCTTACGCTATTTCTGACAAGTGGCTGTCCTGTCTCTTCTTAAAAATCTTCAGTGATGGAGCACCCATAACTTCTGAAGGCCAGCTGTTCCATGGGTTAATTATTCTCACTATTAGGAAGTTTCTCCTTAATTCCAGGTTGCTTTTCTCCTTGATTAGTTTCCATCCATTGTCTCCTGTCTCGCTTTATGTTCGCGGTAATAGCATTTTAAAAACAAGTGGAGTGTGGAACTGTATGTGAAATGTACTGAAGCTCTCTGTTCCAAAGGTTTAAGTCTTAATTAGCAAGACTGCTAGTACAACAAACCTTTATACAAAATGCCCCCAATATTTTCTTTTGGTCTATAGAGAGAGAGAGAAGGGTTTCCTGTCCCACTGCAATTTATAATGCAATGTTAGCATGAGAGCAAAGTCAGAAATCCAGGGGATGAGAACAGACAGGGCCATTACAGTAACAAAATACGGGAGTCATCCAGTTGTATCACCATGAAATCAGTGTCTCTCTGTCCTCTGTGACACACAGGTTGGAGAAAGAGACATAACAGTTGAACCTTGGCCTGCTCTATGTTTTAAACTTGAGGGTAAAAACATGGTGGTATGGAAGATTCTAAGTAGAGTTTACAATATCTCTGAGTAAATATATAACACTAAGTGGTCGATCTCACTTTGTCCCTACAGTGAGCTGCTCACACTGCAACCTGGTATGCCCATTCACTTTTCGCAGTCCTTTCAGTTATCAGGATGGCATCCTATGTACCTACAAGAGAGGCGTCCAAAAGAATCCAACCTTGCAGAATTAAACATATGTGTCTGACCCATCGTGACCCCATTAACAGTGTTCCTCCAGACCTTTCTGTCCAATCTCGAGTCCATTTAAGCTCACATCTTCGGTGACTCCATCTAGCCACCTCATTCTCTGCCGTCCCCTTCCTTTTTTGCCCTCAATCGTTCCCAGCATCAGGCTCTTCTCCAGTGAGTCCTTTCTTCTCATTAGGTGCCAAAGTATTTGAGTTTCATCTTCAGGATCTGGCCTTCTAAAGAGCCATCAGGGTTGATCTCCTCTAAGGCTGACCTATTTGATTGCCTTGCAGTCCAAGGGACTCACAGGTGTCTTCTCTAGCACCATAGTTCAAAGGCCTCAATTCTTTGGTGCTCAGACTCTATTATGGTTCAACTTTCACAGCCATACATTTCAACTGGGAAAACCATAGCCTTGACCATACGCACTTTTGTTGGCAGTGATGTCTCTGCTTTTTAGTATGCTGTTTAGATTTGCCATAGCTTTCCTCCCCAGGAAAAAGCGTCTTTTAATTTCTTGGCTGCAGTCCCCATCTGTAGTGATCTTGGAGCCTGGGAAAATAAAATCTGTCACTACCTCCATTTCTTCTCCATCTATTTGCCAGGAATTGAGAGATCCAGATGCCATGATCTTAGTTTTCTTAATGATGAGTTTCAAGCCAACTTTTGCACTCTCCTTCACCTGCATCAAGAAACTCCTTAGTTCCTCTTCACTTACTGCCATTAGAGTGGTATCATCTGCATATCTGAAGTTGTTGATATTTCTCCAAACATATATATAAAACAATATATTTTGAGGCGTGGGAGACTAGGAAAGAACTATGACTAGTTGGCATGCACTATAAAGTATAGCAAGATTTTCTTATAGGTTATATTCATAATTTTTAAACTCTCTTTCTTTGGTTTAGAGGAAAGGATTTCAGCAGAAGTGGAATCATGGACCACAGGAGAGCAATATGCAGGCTGGATCCTGAACTCAAGGTAATCTAAAGGCAAAGAGAAATTGGATTTGCCTCTTTTTTCAAAAACCCAGTTAGTTGTTTTTAGATGTCCACCAGAGCTAAAGACTGTATTCTTTGATAGAATTTCTAATTTCCAACAGAGATTTCATGTTCCTTTAAAAACTCATCCAAACAATCTACAAAACTATCCTTTTTACTTTGTAGCCTTTACAAGGTAATTCAAAAGCTTGGGGAAAGCATAATTTTGAAGGAAAATGATAACATTTGTTTCATTTACTGTTGAAACAGTTGTCTGGATTCAGTGGCCCTTATTAGTTATTAAGTGGTGACTCTTCTGCAGTGAGAGATTTGATATTAATGGACCATTGGATATTAATGAATGAATAATTTAATTTAATTTGGGCTTTAATTAATTTGCAAAAGCCCAACTCTATCTCAGTTGCATAGGCCCTATGATACCTTGAAATCTATTAGCTTTTCTGGGGCACTTTATGATATTCTTACACATATTGTTTATATGAAATGTTAAGTAGCACATAAGTAGTAATGCGGAAACTGGAGGAAGAGCATATGCTTTTCCTTCCTGTCTCCAACTCATACCATCTTCCTGGTCCTTTTCACTGCTTCATAGTATCCTCTGCTACCTCCCGTGACACTGTGTCTCCTCACTTTGTTGATCTCAGGGGTTTGGATATTGTCCCTCGCGGATGGTCCATATCAATGTTCACCGGCAACAAGTGGCAGGACTTAGCAGGCTGTGACTTTGTGTTGGATTTGGTTGGTGGAATGGAGGAAGTAAATTGCCCTTCTCAGTCCTCCTCTAATTTTCCTATTATCCCTGAGAGGGATGTGAGCTACTTTCAAAGGAACTCTCCAAATAGGTAAGTGATTGCCTCCTTACCTCCTGTCCCAGCAGCCTCTCTCTTGTATTCCCAGAAATCTCTGCTTTTGAGACCCCCACTCTCATTTCTTTTGTGATAGGAAGTCCTTGGATATCCCTCCTGCACCAACCTTTAAGGCCCCTTCTTTCCCTCCACCTCCCTTGCCTCCCATGTTTGACAAGGCAGTCCATCCAGGTGAGTCTCCATCTCAGGTCAGGAGTTCAAAAGGCATCTGAGAATGCTGGGGAGAATTTGATCTTTGCATCCTGAAGCCATGGCTCCCTATATTTAGATCTGGGTGGGAGGGGGAGATGCTCAATCAATGCATTGAGGATAGGTAGAGAAAACGAGCAAGGGATGTTAATGAAGTGACAGGAGTTTTATTTCTTTGATTAACAGTGATTTTATCTCTTCCTCCTCCCCCTTCCCGAATTAGACCCCATGGATAGTCCAACTCCCTCTAGAGAATTGGGTCACTATGTGGATGGCCTCTTTGAACCTCTGTTACATGCTGGCTCCAGACCTCATATGTCAGTAAGTCTAATCTCATCTAAGTTTTTTTTTTGCTGTTCCTCATACATCACTTTCTGGGTGGGCACTGAGAACAGAACTGCGATAGTGGTTATGATCACTTCCTTTTTGCCACAGATATATGATCTCCAGGAATTGCTAGAGATGAAACTAACTGTTGATATCTCTTTCCCCCCCACCCTGCCTCTCTGCAGGCTATGGAAAGTGAGGCAAACCTGACTGGTCGTATGAAAGGAGGTGGGAAAATTGGACCTATGAATCAAGGAGTCTATTCAGGTGCGAGTTTGAATGCAGGGAGGAGAGCAACTTGATAGGATAAATCAAGGCTGTCAAACTCACATCACCATGGCAATGTCATGTGACATATTGGGACTTCTCCAAACTTCTCTATACTGGGGGTGGGCAGCGTGTGACGCATCCGGCCCTGAGATAGATAGTGGCTTCTGTGACTGTTCTTTTTTTTTTAAGCAATTCTGGAATTGAGGCTTATTATTCACACTGCTGGGATAAGGATTATTGGCCTAAATATTTCTCCTTACACCTAAGGTGGTTAAAAAAAGGGGGGTGGAGGAAAATCACTGTACATGAACATGAAAAACCTCTAAAATCTGTTGTATACAATTCTGTATGCTTCAGATACAATAATTCCTTTTTATAGGGGGAAATGTAAAAAAAATGTTACAATGCTCATATTATTAAATGCATTTGTAACTGCAGGTATGTTTTACAAAGGTAAAACATATGTGCCCATACGTAACAATAATATAACTACCGTGTTTGGTGGGAAGGTAACAGCGGTCCGTGCACCTTCAGCGTTTAGTCATGCTGGCCACATGACCACTCTTCGGACAATGCTGGCTCTTTGGCTTTGAAACGGAGATGAGCACCGCCCCCGTAGAGTTGGGAACGACTGGCACATATGTGCAAGGGGAACCTTTACCGTTACCTTTACCTTTATAACCAACAGCTCAGAGAGGGGCTTCATATTGAGAAATAGAAAATTCCTTTGCTGCTGATTTCCAAACTATGGTATCTTTATTCTGTGAGTCAGCAGTATCTTTCACTCATATCACATGGCATGACATGATGGATGACAAAATCGCACGGTTATCTCAGTACAGCAGTTCATTTAGTGACCGTTTGAAGTTACAACAACACTAATAAACACATGACTATTTTTCACACACAGGAAGGTTGAGGTGTCCCCCATGATCGCAGGATTAAAATTCAGACAGTTGGCAACCTACTTGTATTTATGAGGGTTGCAGTGTCCCGGGTTCATACGATCCCCTTTTGCGACCTTCTGACAAGCAAAGTCAATGGGGGAGCCAGATTCACTTAACAACTGTGTTGCTAATTTAGCAATCATTCACTTAACAACTGTGGCAGGGAAGGTCATAAAATGGGGCAAGATTCTTTAATAAATGCCTGACTTAGCAAAAGAAATTTTGAGCTCAATTGTGGTCGTAAACCGAGGACTGTCTGTATTGCATACCCCTTACCACACTAGTTAAAATGTACTGTTAGTTGAAAACCAGAAGATTTTTCACAGATATGAACAGAACCTCAAGTGAATTTTATTTAGGGCCATCATATCTGGGCTGCAAAGCTCCAGACAAACGCAAGGGTAGCCTATTGTTGCAATCTAGTGGTCATCCAGGTTTGCACAACACAAATTAGGGAGCCATAATTGGCTGTTCGTTTCATGGGAGTAAGCCAGATTTTCTCCATTCATCAGGTTATCCTGGAATGATGACCATGCCAACTTTTCCAACTATGCCAGTTATGGGAGGAATGATGCCAGCCACCATGCCGGGAATGCCAGGTAATGGGAACACAATGTCTTGAGGCTCAGATCAAGGGTGAAATCCAGCAGGTTCTGACAGGTTCTAGAGAACCAATAGTGGAAATTTTGAGTAGTTCGGAGAACCAGCAAATGCCACCTCTGGCTGGCACCAGAGTGGGGTAGGAATGGAGATTTTACAGTAGCTTTCCCTTGACATGCCCACCAAGTCACGCCCGCCATGCCACACCACACCCACCAAGCCACGCCCACAGAACCGGTAGTAAAAAAAAATTGAATTTCATCACTGGCTCAGATGGGATGAAGCTTGTGTAGCTTGTGCAAGAATTGCTGTGCATTTAACAGCGTGGGGAGACATATGCATTGTGATTGATTCTATGTGACCCCTTCTCTCTTTTGTTTTTGCTCTCAGCTATGATGATGACTCACCCCATGATGCCATCCATGGATCCTAACCAGGCAGCAGCTCAGCAGCAATCTGTCATCAACCAACAAGCCCTGTTTCTGGTATGTGACAGCGTTAGAGTGAAAGAGTACGCAAGGCAGTGAATTGCCTTGGCTGGGAGTCATGCCTAGTTTGCCAGTTCCCACAACAATCTGAAGAAATCATTTCTTGTGCAATGCGAGGCATCAAAGGGCCAAGTTACGACCGAGCAGCTAATACAGGTAGTCCTCAACTTATGACCACAATTGGGCCCAAAATGTAGGTTGCTAAATGAGAAATGTGTTAAGTGAGTTTTGTCTCATTTTACGACTTCCAGTGTCACATTTGTGAAGGGAATCACTGCAGTTGTTTTAGTCTCAGGGTTGTTAAGTGAATCTGGTTTCGCCATTGATTTTGCTTGTCAGAAGGTCGCAAAACGTGATCACGTGTCCATAGGACACTGCAACCAATAAAAGTAAGCCAATTGTCAAGCACCCCAAAGTAAGTCATGTGACCATGGGGATGCTGCAACAGTCATAAGTGTGAAAAAGGATTATAAGTCACTTTTTTCAGGGCCGTTGTAACTTCAATCGGTCACTGAGTGAACTGTTGTAAGTTGAAGTCTACCTGTACTAGGGAATGGGTTTAATAGAGAGAAATTGCCTTGTGGAAAGGGGTATTCTTTGGCCAAATTTGTGCATGTTTGAAATATACAAACAGGTGAATTCCTGAATTAAAGATACACCAGTGGTACCATATTTACAGGTAGTCCTTGACTTACAACAGTTCGTTTAGTTCAAATGGCACTGAAAAATGTGACTTATGACTGTTTTTCAAAGTTATGACCTTCGCAGCATCCCCATGATCATGTGATCAAGATTCAGATGCTCGGCAACTGGTTCATATTTATGACTGTTGCTGTGTCCCAATATCATGTTAACACCGTTTGCGACCTTCTGAAAAGGAAAGTCAATCGGAAAGCCAGTTACTAACGTATCGTCTGCAACGATTCACTTAACAACTGTGACAAGGAAGGTATGAAACAGGGAAAAACTCACTTAACAAATGTCTCACTTAGCAGAAATTTGTGGTCATAAGTCGATGACTGCTGTATTCATTGTGTTTGTGTTAAGCGTTACTTAAGAGCAAGGTGGGAGATATTAGAGAATAACAGATGTAGAAGAGAAACATAAAAGAGAACAAGAAAATGAAAATTTTGAAACATAAAAGTGAAATTGTAGTTCATTTACGATTAAAAGTAATTGAGATCTGACTGTTGGTGGATATATAAATCCACAAAGTAAATAAGAAGCAACAAAATATTAATTTTGTCTAGCATGGACCTCATACCCTTTTCCTAAGAGGGGGCGTGCATAAGTGCACCAGCGTGCCTACCATCCCTGTCCTATTGTCCCCATTGATTCGTACCCATTTCCTGTGGTCATGTCCATGTTTATACTTACGCCTGTTATCTCGCACATGTTTGACAAACTAAATAAATATATAAAAATTTGATTTTGTAGGCTCAGCAGATGACACTTCAAGCCATGAAAATTTCAGAACAGGATCAACAGCAGAAACAGAAGCATAGATCTCCTGAGCATTCCCACCCAAACCAATTACCTTCACATAGATCACATGAACATTCAATGCAAAGGCAACCTTCACCACACAGCTCACCTACATTGTCAAGGCCAAGACGAGCAACACCAAAGAGGAGGACATCTGAACATTTAAGACGAAGGCCATCATCATCAGAAAGCTCTCCCGAATCCTTAAGATCAACACGAGTATCACCAAGGAAGCAATCACCTGAAGCTTCGAGGCCAAGACGAACATCACCAAAGAGCAGGTCACCTTCAAGCCCAAAGAAAACATTACTCCCCAAGAGGCCTCCTGAACTTTCAAGGTCAAAAAAGGTGTCAGTAAAGGAACAGCCTTCTGAATCTTCAAGACCAATACAAGAGTCTCGTTCTCCTTCACCTCCACCACAATCACCGGTACTGAGTATATTCCTTATAGAATTCTTTTTCTGGATAATACTCCATTTGGAATTTAAGATTCTTCTGAGGATGAAATGGGAGTAATGTGGAAAAATCGAGTCCTCAAAGATGACTTAATGAAATCTCTGTCAGAGTTAGACAGCCTCTTTTTTCCCCCTTCAAGGATGCTGATATGCTTTGATCAAATGCTTTCCATGCATATTTTTATTACTCACCTGGGATTGGGGAAAGTGGATCTAGAACAGGGCTGTCAAACTCCCCGCTTGTGGGCTGGATGCATCATGAGTTGACCACGCCCACGCCTCATTTAGTGAAGGAGAAAAAAGTCCTGATATGTTACGTGATGCCACTGTGACAACGTAAGTTTGACATCCCTGATCTAGAAGTATATTGGAATTATACAGTGTAGCTATTTCTCTAAAGTAGAAATCAAGGACACGATTCAAATTGTAACCCACCATCTGGTATATGTCCTAGATCCACATTTTGGAAGAGGAGGTGACTGCGGACGTCAGAGTAGATTCCCTCTCTAGGGGGACTTTCCAAAAGAAAGTTGAGTTCTTCCAGAGAATGGGTGAGTTGTAAGCCAATGTTCTTTCCAGACTGTCATATTTTCATTTTTTTTATATTAATGCAACAAGATCTTTGTTGCAGCCTTCTCATACTTATAAGAGCCGAGGTGGCACAGTGGTTAGAGTGCAGTACTGCAGGCCACTTCAGCTGACTGCTAACTGCAGTTCAGTGATTC